AAAAAAAAAAAAAAAGAACAAGGTGGTGAGAACTTGGCTTTACCAGATATCAAGACTTTATAAAGCTACACAAAATAAGTGCAGAGACAAAGATTATTATATAACACTGATCATATTGTAGATCAATGGGAAATGTATGGACTTACAAAATTTTTTTGTTATGGAAATGGCTATTTTTATGGAAAGAAGTAAAATTGAACCCTTAATCTGATAACACACATACAAATTAATTCCAGGTTTGTTAAAGGTCAAAATGTGAAAGGTAAAACTTCAAATCTTCTGTTGAGAAGATAATATAGAATATCTTTATGACCTCAGGGTAGGGAAGAATTTCTTTTTTTTAAAAAAATTATTTATTTATTTGAGAGAGAGAATGAGCAGGGGAGGAGCACAGGGAGAGAGTCTTAAGCAGACGCCACGTTGAGTAGGGAGCCCAGCGCGGGGCTCAGTCCCACGACCCTTAGATCACCATCTGACCTGAAACCAAGAGTCGGCCACTTAACTGACTGTTCCACCCAGGCATCTCAGATAGGGAAGAATTTCTTTTCTTTTTCTTTCTCTTTTTTAGGGAAGAATTTCTTAAACACAAAGACACAAAAAGCACGAACAATAAAAGAAAGAATATAAAGCTAGAATTTGTGTTCATAAAAAAGACCCTGTAAAAGAGTGAAGAGAAAGCCATAAACTAAGAGAAGATATTTGCAACATGAATAATTGACAAAAGAATAGTGTTTAGAGTAAAAATACTTGCATAATAAATAAGCCCCTCCTGCTCATGCTTTCTCTCTCTCTCTCAAATTAATAAATCTTTAAAAAATAAAAAATAAGATAAATATATATAACCCAGTAGAAAAATGGGAAAAGGCTTGAACATTTCACAAAAGAAGAAACTCAAATGGCATAAAAATATATGAAAAGACAATCTCATTAGTAATCAAGGAAAGGAAAATAAAAGGCATATCAATATAACATTACACAGCCAGTAGATTGGTAAAATTGTGTAGGTAAAAGGGGAAAGGGGAAAGGATGTAGAACAATAGGTACACTCATGCATGACATGTAGGAATGTATGAGACTAAAACCACTTTTTTTTTAAGATTTTATTTATGTGACACAGAGAGAGAGAGAGGGAACACAAGCAGGGGGAGTGGGAGAGGGAGAAGCAGGCTTCTGCCAAGCAGGGAGCCCGATATGGGGCTCGATCCCAGGACGCTGGGATCATGACCTGAGCCGATGGCAGGTGCTTAACGACTGACCCTCCCAGGCGCCCCATAAAACCACTTTTTAAAAAAAGTTTGTCAATAGGGCACCTGGGCGGTTCACTACATTAAGCGTCTGCCTTTGGGTCAGGTCATGATCCTGGGGTCCTCAGATCGAGCCCCACATCTGGCTCCTTGCTCAGTGGGGAGCCTGCTTCTCCCTCTGCCTGCTCCCCCTGCTCTTTCTCTCTCTTTCTCTCACAAAAAAAAAAAAGTTTATCAATTACCTGGTGAAGTTATACATGAACATATCCCACAACCCAGAAATTGCATCCCTAGGTATATTCCCAAAAGAAATTTGTGCACATGTGCACTAGATACAGGTACAAGAATGTATAGTGATGTGATTGTAATAGCCCCAAACTAGAAACAATTCACTGAATACCAAGTTATATATATTATGCAGTGTGATATTATGCAACAGTGAAAGTGAATGAACTACAGAGACACAGTTAACATGGATAAATATCAGTTATATGATATTTAGCTAAAGTAATATGTACCTTATGATTCAAAAATAGGTGACACCGAATATGTTGCTTAAATATGCATAGAGGGTACAACTTTTTGTGTGTGTGATTTTAACAACTCTGAAGAATGGTTGGTAACCTCTGAGTATGAAAGATAGAGATGCAACCTATTAGAGGTACACAGGGGTTTCCAAGATATTGGTGATGTTCTACTAATTTGTGTGATTTTTATGGAGTCGTTAACTTTAATATTTTTAAAATTGAACATATATTTCTTAAACATTCTATATGAATGATGTAATACACAATAGAGTGTTTTGAAAATACATTTAGTGAGTTCTAATGGTGAAGATCAATGGAACATTATTGATTATCCAAGATGTTTTTAATTGCCTCATATGTACAATAGTTAACACAGAGCCCAAGTGCTGGGAACACAGAAGGTGCTAAAAGTATTTGTCAAACAAAGGGAGGACTATGAAATCAGAACCTGATGGAACTTATGATCAAGTTAGGAATGTAAGTACAACATAAACATGGAAAGATAACACAAGGAACCATATATAAGGACTGTTTGAGAATTATAGGCAGTAAATGCTATAAAAATTCAGTCAAGAGTGGGGACACTTGGGTGGCTCAGTCGGTTAAGCAGCTGCTTCAGCCTGGGTCATGATCCCAGGGTCCTGGGATCGAGTCCCACATCGGGCTCCTTGCTCAGCAGGGAGCCTGCTTCTCCCCCTCTCTCCCTCTGCTTGTGCTCTCTCTGTCAAATAAATAAAATCTTAAAAAAATTAAATAAATGAATTGGCTGCTTGAACACTTTAAAAAAAAATTCAGTCAAGAGTGGTATTTATGAATGATATGATTAGAAGATGCCTAGTGGGGAAATTGGTATTTGAAGAAGTACTTGGCTAATATAATAATAACAATAATTGCTGACATTTATTGAATATTTAATATATACTAGGCACTGTTCTGAGTAATTTTTGTCTATTAACTCACCGAATCATTTTCTTAAGAACCATATAAAAGAAAAACTATATTAGCTCAGTCTGGCAGATGAGGATCTAAGGATCAGAGGAGCAGGCAAAATACTTGTCCAGGGTCACACAGCTAAGAAATGGCAGAATCAGGGTATAGGCAGTTGGACCTTAAGAGTCTTTGCTCCAGACCATTATGGTTTGCTGTCTCTTGGTGGATTGAGTTATATTTAGAACAGAAAATAACAGGTGAGGAGATGATGGCATTAACAGAATCAGGGCACCTGGAAAATCTGACATAAAATTAAGACACAAAGCTAGTAAAATAATTTGGAGGCAGATTATGAAAAGACTTGATATTTTACTTTGGTAGACAGTTTAATTATATTTGTTGAACATCATAATATTTCAAATAATCTGAACTGTGGAGAGATGACTCTGAAGAAGTTGCAAGGATTTTTGCCCATTCTCTAAAAGTTGAGGGGGTAGTAGGGAGAGATAGAGGGATGAGGAAACAGAGAGATTAAGAGATTACTTTGGACTTTTATGGTTAGATAAGACTTTAAGGAAGGTGAACCTTAAGCAAGGTCTTTGAACAAGCATGAGTAGACTGTGTGCAGAGAGAAAAGAACTTTCTCCTATATAGGTCTTTTGATGCAAAGGAGAGATAATTTTCTAGATAATGTGAAACATGTCAAAGAAATGCCATCTTTCTTTTTTTTTTTAAAGATTTTATTTATTTATTTATTAGAGAGCAAGCGAGAGAGAAACAGCATGAGAGGGGAGAGGGTCAGAGGGAGAAGCAGGCTCCTCGCCGAGCAGGGAGCCTGAGGTGGGGCTGGATCCCAGGACGCCAGGATCACGACCTGAGCCGAAGGCGGTCGCTTAACCAACTGAGCCACCCAGGCGCCCAGAAATGCCATCTTTCTAAGTTTATCTTTCTAGTTAAAATCTTTACCGAGGCAGGGAAAACATTGAAATGTTTATGGTTTATAAATTATCTCTTTTGGATTAGAGAGATATGAAATGACCATAAATGGAGATACAATAATGTCTTTAAAATTAAGCGGATTTCCTTTTTTAAAAGAGCATGGGGGCACCTGGTTGGCTCAGTTTGAAGAGCATGCAACTCTTGACCTCAGGGTAGTGAGTTCAAGCCCCATGTTGGGTGTAGAGATTCCAAAAATAAATAAATAAACAGAGAAGAGCATAAAATAAATTTTTTTAAAAATAGAGATGAGATATATAGGAATCTTAGTTTAATTTTTGACATCCATATGGAAAATAACTTCCATGTATTTAACGCTTATTTAAAAGTCCAGTACAGGATAGTGAGCATCATATCATATTATCATTGGATTTAATAGGTAAAAGAGTTTTATGACTGGTCATCAGATTTAGAAAGTAGTTTACCTTCTTGTGAGGATCAAGAACTTCTTTGTGATCTCAAATCTAGTCCCTTATAATAGTTAGAAGTAAATATACATGCTCATCCTTAGAATCTTGAAACAGACATAAATTCTCAGAGTTTTAAGCTTCATAAGGTGTTTCTAAGAAGCCAGAGAGAGCTGACTTGCATTGCCTCAGGCCTTAATAAGAAATGAGAATGTGGGCTAAAAGGGATGGTACGATATGTTATTATTTGAAAAAAATGTGAAAACTGGTAAGTCATAGTAACAAGGCCTCCTTCAGCTTACGCAATGTAACATTACTACATGGAAAGTCTGTTCATCTGCAAATGCCAGACATGAAGGTAAATGTGTACCTTATTTATTTATTTATGATAGATGAGTACTTTATTATTATTTTTTTAAAGATTTTATTCATTTATTTGACAGAGACATAGTGAGAGAGGGAACAGAGCAGGGGGACTGATAGAGGGAGAAGCAGGCTCCCTGCAGAGCAGGGAGCCCAATGTGGGACTCGATCCCAGCACCCTGGGATCATGGCCTCAGCCGAAGGCAGACACTTAACGACTGAGCCACCCAGGCATGCTGATAGAGGAGTACTTTAATACCAAGGTCATACAATAGACTTTTAAAGAAGTAAAGCACAGTAATTATGGCATTCTTTTTTTTTAAGATTTTATTCATTTGACAGAGAGAGCACAAGCAGAGGGAGAGGGAGGGAGAAGCAGGCTCCCTGCTGAGCAAGGAGCCTGATGCGGGACTCGATCCCAGGACCCTGGGATCATGACCCGGGCCGAAGGCAGCCGCTTAACCGACTGAGCCACCCAGGTGTCCCTAACTATGGCATTCTTGATCCAAGTATTGCCTTCTGTTTCTTTTTAGATTACATAGTATCTGCAAACTCCAAATTAGTTATTGTCACAGCAGGTGCACGCCAACAGGAGGGAGAAAGTCGCCTTGCCCTGGTCCAACGTAATGTAAACATCATGAAATCAATCATTCCTACCATAGTCCAACATAGTCCTGATTGTAAGATGCTTATTGTTTCAAATCCAGGTAAGTCTTTATCCTCCCTTTAACAGAATAAAGATGATCTTTCCATACTATTTTTAAAAAACAATTTCATTGAGGTAATATTTGTGTACAATAAATTGCACGCATTCAAAGTATATAAGAGAGATCTCCATTCCCCCTCCTTCCCTAGCCGCTGGCCACCACCCCTTTGTTTTTATGGGTTTGGCTATTTTAGAATCCACATATAAGTGACATCATAAAGTATTTGTCTTTCTCTGTCAGACTTACTTCACTTAACATAATGCCTTCAAGATCCATCCATGGTGTCACAAATGGCAGGATTTCCTTCTTTCTTGTAGCTGAATATTAAATTGTACATATATATATACACACACACAATGTATACATATATATAAACATCTTTTTTTTTCTTGTGCTGTCTTTTTTTTTTTTAAAGATTTTATTTATTTATTCATGAGAGACAGAGAGACAGAGAGAGAGAGGCAGAGGGAGAAGCAGGCTCCCAAGGAGCAGGGAGCCCGATGCGGGACCCGATCCCAGGACTCTGGGATCCTGACCTGAGCCGAAGGCAGATGCTTAACCATCTGAGCCACCCAGGCGCCCTGCTGGGAGTTTTTTGATTACTGATTCAATTTCTTTGCTGGTTATCAGTCTATTCAAGTTTTCTATTTCTTCTTGTGGTTTTGGTAGTTTATGTTTCTAGGAATTTATCCATTTCTTCTAGGTTGTCCAATTTGTTGGCATATAGTTTTTCATAATATTCTGTTATAATCGTTTGTACTTTTTTTTTTTTTAAGATTTTATTTATTTATTTGACAGAGAGAGAGCAGGAGAGGACAAGCAGTGGGAGCGGCAGAGGGAGAGGGAGAAGCAGGCTCCCTGCTCAGCAGGGAGCCCAATGCGGGGCTTGATCCCAGGACCCTGGGATCATGACCTGAGCCGAAGGCAGTTGCTTAACCACCTGAGCCACCCAGGCGCCCCAATTGTTTGTATTTCTATGGTGTTCATTGTTATTTCTCCTCTCTCCTTTCAAAGAACCAGTTCCTGATTTCATTGATCTGTTCTATTTCTTAGTTTCTATTATTTATTTCTGCTCTAATCTTTATTATTTCCTTCCTTCTGCTGGCTTTATGCTTTGTTATTTTTTTTCTGGCTCCTTTAGGTGTAAGGTTAGATTGTTTATTTGAGATTTTCCTTGCTTCTTAAGGTAGGCATCTATTGCTATATAGTTCCTTCTTAGGACTGCTTTTACTACATCTCAAAGGTTTTGGACCTCTGTGTTTTCATTTTCATTTGTTTCCATGTATGTTTTGAAATTTCTTCTTCGATTTCCAGGTTGACCCGTTCATTGTTTAGTAGCATGTTGTTTAACCTCCATGTATTTGTGGTCTTCCCAAATTTTTTCTTGTGATTGACTTCTAGTTTCACAGTGTTGTGGTTGGAAAAGGTGCGTGGTTTGACTTCAATCTTTTTGTATTTGTTGAAGCTTGTTTTGTGCCCTGATTTATGATCTATTCTGGTGAATGTTCCATGTGCACTTGAAAAGAATGTGTATTCTGATGTTTTAAGATGAAATATTCTGAATATATCTGTTAAGTTCAACAGATTCTTTCTTCTTGATCCAATCTGTTGTTGATGCTATATCTACTGCAGTTTTCATTTCACTCATTATATTCTTCAACTCTAGAATTTGGTTCTTTTTTTATGATTTCTTTCTCTTCATTAAATTTCTCATTTTGTTTTCCTGATTTCACTGAACTATTTCTGTGTTTTCTTATAGCTCATTTAGCTTCCTTAAACCAGATATTTTGAATTCTTTGTTTGCTAAATCACAGATCTCCATGTCTTTGGGGTTGATTACTGGAAAATTATTGAGATCCTTTGGTGGTGTCATGTTTCCCTGATATTTTTATGTTCCTTGAAGTCTTGTGTTACTGTCTTTGCATTTGAAGTAGCTATAACCTCCTCTAGTCTTTACCAACTTAGTTCAGGACAGAAATGTCTTCTGTCAGCCCTGCTAGGGATTCTGAGACTTTCTAAGACCTATGTATATGCCTGCTCCACACATCTTACACCCTGTTGTGGAAGGATTCTTAAGCTTCTATGCCTCATTTTGACCCTCAATGCAGTAGGCCAAGTGCTGACAGCCTCTCTTTTGCTTTCTGAAGGATGTGGCTTAAGTTGAAGTTTGCAGTTTCTTTCTGACCCACAGTTTTGGTCTAGCTTTCTGCCTGTGCTCACTAGCTGTTTGCTAATGCTCATTCTTGCCATTGGAAGTATATAGAGGGAGCTGACCATAGTAGGGTGTGTATGGGGGTCTGTGTGTGGAATGCTGGGATTACCTCTGGGTTAGTTGGGGGGATCCACTGGCAGGGCATCCCCAGTGGCTCATGGGCACACTTTCTGTTGGAGTCCACAACACATTTAGTAGGATCTATGTCCCATAATGCCCGTTTGAGAGTCCTGTCTGCCACTGTCTTAGCTTCTTCTCATTCCCCAGTCATGGAGCTCAGGACTCAATACTTTGGATGGGGTGAGAAAGAAATGGGCTTCTTTGGTAGCAGTTTGCATAGCTAGTGAAGGTAGATGCTTACTCACAGACTCTGACTTTCCTTTGTGGGGGAAATCATGAGCTAAGAAGATCTCTTTTGGCACTGAGTTCTTCCACCTTGGGGAAGGAGTGATGCAAGTAAAGTCAGACTGTTCCTCTTACCCTCTTCAATGCATCCAAACTCATATTATTTTGCCCCAGTAGTGTGCTGGCACTTCTCTGCTGGAAACCTGGACTTCCAGAAAGGCTATCCTATCCATAGGTGGATTGTCTAAGACATTGTTTTCCAGGGGCTCCTAGACTGTAGTAAAGTGGGGCTGGAATTGGCTCATGGGCCACTGCAGGGTCCACAGCTGGGACTGAGGCCTCTGTGACAATTACATGCCTGACACATGGGTGAGTGAGTGTCCTTCTGGGTTCCTTGGTGTATAGTGCTGGATCCCACCGCTCCAGCAAAGGCACTTCTGTCCATGGGTGGATGCCAGATTGTTGGTTTTGAGGGGTGGGTGGTGAGAAGGTATGTCTTATTTGACTATGTTGCTGACATCATTCCACAGTGAGTATTGATAGATGTAATCACTCATGAAACTACCACTATAATCAAGATAAATACATTTCCATTACCTCTGAGAGTTTTCTTGTGCCTCTTTGCAGTCTGTCCCTTATTCTACCTCTGGACCCATTTTCTGGAATCTCATATAATGGAATTGTACATTCATTAGTGAATGTAATCTTTTTTGTCTGGCTTCTTTCATCTAGCATGATTATTTTTTTTTAAGATTTTATTTATTTATTCATGAGAGACAGACAGACAGAGAGAGAGGCAGAGGGAGAAGCAGGCTCCCCAAAGGGCAGGGAGCCCAATGCGGGACTCGATCCCAGGACCCTGGGATCATGACCTGAGCCAAAGGCAGATGCTTAACCATCTGAGCCACCCAGGCGCCCCTAGCATGATTATTTTGGGATTCATTCATGTTGCTTGGTATATCAGTGATCTGTTCTTTTTTTAACTGCTGAAGAGTATTCTTTTAAATAATTTTAAATCCTCTTTATCTATTCATATCCATTTATCCATTGGTAGCTATTTAGGTTATTTCCAGTGTTTGGCTATTATGAATAAAGCTGCTGTAAACATTTGTGAATAAGTATTTTCATGGATGTATGTCATTATTTCTCTGGGTAAATACCTGGGTGGCTTATATGGTACGTATATGTTTAACTCTGTTAGAAGCTGCCAAACAGTTTTTCAAAGTGATTGTTCATTTTACATTCCCGTCAGCACTAGAAGAAAGTTCTATTTGCTCCACATCCTTGCGAACACTTGGTATTGTCAGTCTTTTCAGTTTTAGTCATTCTAATATCATTATGGTTTTAATTAACTGTATTCCCTTCATGATCAAAGATGTTGAGCATTTTTCATGTGTTCCTTGGCTCTTAGTACATTTTCTTTTGTGAATGGTCTATTCATATCTTTCATTAAGATTTAAAAATTAGATCCTTTGACCTTTAATTCTTTTGACCTATAGCTCAACCTTTAATTGTTGAATTATAAGAGTTCTTATATACACTGTATACAAGTCCCTTTGTCAGATATAAGTATTGCATAAGTTTCTCTCAGTCTGTGGCTTGCCTTTTTGTGTTCTTAATGATATTTTTCAAAGAGTAAAGTATATCATTTGGTAAAGTCCAGTTTATCAATTTCTTATTTATGTTTTATGCTTTTTTTACTTTTATTTATTATTTTTAAAAGATTTATTTTATTTTAATATTTTTAAAAAAGATTTTATTTATTTATTTGACAGAGAGAGATAGCGAGAGAGGGAACACAAGCAGGGGGAGTGGGAGAGGGAGAAGCAGGCTTCCTGCCGAGCAGGGAGCCCGATGTGGGATTCAATCCCAGGACCCTGGGATCATGACCTGAGCTGAAGGCAGATGCTTAATGACTGAGCCACCCAGGCGTCCCTAAAAGATTTATTTTATTTATTTGAGAGAGTGAGCTTGAGCTGGGGGAGGGGTACGGAGGGAGAGGATCTCAAGCAGACTCAGCTCTGAGTACAGAGCCCTACAAGGGGCTCGATCTCACAACCCTGAGATCCTGACCTGAGCCTAAATCAGGAGCCAGCCAACTGAGCCACCCAGGCACCCCTATGTTCTTTTGACTTTTAGCTAAGAAACCTTTAGCCCACCCTAAGTCTGAAGATTTTCTCCTTTATTATTTTCTATAAGTTTTATCATTTTATCTTTTATATTTAGGGCTTTAACTCATTTCATATTACTTTTAGTGTTTGATGTAAGGTGTCATTCATTTTTTCAATGATGATATCCAGTTTTTCTAGCAACATTGTTAAAAATACTTTTTTTCTCCATTTGAATTGCTTTGACAATTTTTTTGAAAATTATCATTTATGTGAGTCTATTTCTAGATTCCCTATTTTTTCATTTATCTCCATTTATATTCTTTTTTTGTCATTTTCCATATGTATTCTTTTATTATTATCACACTATCGTGATTACACTAAATCTTCAAATCAGTTAATGTAAATTCTCTTTGTTCTTCTTTTCTTTTTTTCTTTGTTCTTTTCTAAAATTACTTTGGGTATTATGTGTTGTTTTAATTTTCACATAAATTTTACAACTAGCTCATCTATTTCTATAAAAACACATGCTGGGATGTTAATCGGGATTGTGTTAGATCTATAGATTAATTTGGAGATTGTATCTGAACACTATTGAGTCTTCCAGTCCATGAATATGGAATATCTCTCTATGTATGTATGTCTTCTTTATTCTCTTTTAGCAATGTTTTGTAGTTTTCAGGGTATAGGTCTTACACAAATTTTATTAAATTATCCCTAAGCATTTCATATTTTTGATGCTATTATAAAAAAAGTTGTCTTTACATTTCATTTTCCCACTGATTATTGCTAGTATATAGAAATACTATTGTTTTTTGACTTTGTATCTTGAAAATGTTGCTAAGTTCATTTACTAATTCTAGTAATTTTATTCAAATTCTTAGGATATTCTGTGTATATTATCATGTCATCTGTAAACACAGTTTTATTAATTTTAATTCTTTTCTTTCCAATTTGAAGACCTTTTTATTTTATTGCCTCATTTCACTGGTTAAAACCTCCAATACAATGGTGAATGTAAGTAATAATGAGATACAAATCAGCATGACTCTGGAGTCTTGCTTCCTCCTTTTGGTAGCTTAACAGAGAGCTCTATCAGCTGAACTGAGCCAGCTTGTGGAGAGACAGCAAGGCCTTACGCTGATATCAGCATTCCTGGCGTGCAAAGTTCTTTCTGGGGCCCTTGGTGTGTAGATCTTGGTCCTAGAAATACATACTCCTTACCATTGTTGCTAGACCCCGATATTCTTTGATAAATTTCTTGTTACTTGAGGAAACTAAGTGTTCCTTTCCCCCTCCAAAGCTAACTTAAAGATAAGTAACAGTGTGGTGGTGGGACTTGTTCTTGCTCTTGGAGGAGTTTCTAGAGAACACCCAGCTTGCTAGCCAAAGGAGGCTCCTCTGCACTTGGCTATATTGTGTACAGAGGATCCCTGCCTAACCTATGCTGTGGAATAATGAAAGTTCAGTGTACACAGTGTGGTCCCTTACTTCTCTGCTTCTCAGATTTTCTCCAGTAAACACTATTTATATCTATATCCTCTGGTGTTAGTGGCATGTGTCACCCTTGCACAAGTATTGAGAGGGCACGTACTCAATTAATTCTTTTTCTTGTGGGGAAAACATTTAGTCTTTCATCATTGAGTATGATGTTTAATGTGAGTTTTTTATGAAGTTCTCTTCATTTCATAGTTGCAGAAAGTTGTTTTTTAATTTAATTTAATTTAATTTAATTTAAAGATTTTATTTATTTATTTGACAGAGAGAGACACAGCGAGAGAGGGAACACAGCAGGGGGAGTAGGAGAGGGAGAAGCAGGCTTCCCGTGGAGCAGGGAGCCCGATGCGGGGCTTGATCCCAGGACCCTGGGATCATGACCTGAGCTGAAGGCAGACGTTCAATGACTGAGCCACCCAGGCACCCCTGATTTTTTTTTTAAAGATTTAATTAATTAATTTATTTAGAGAGAGCCCACTTGAGCGGGGGGACAGGCAGAGGGAGAGAGAGGGAGAGAGAGGGAGAGAGAATCTTAAGTAGACTTGCTCAGCAGGAAGCCCAAATTGGGGCTCAATGTAGAGCTTGATCCCAGGACCCTAAGATCATGACCTGAGCTGAAATCTGGAGTGTGATGCTCAACTGGCTGAGCCACCCAGGCGCTCTGGAAAGTTTTTTTTTTTTTTAAATCATTAACGAATGTTGAATTTTGTCATTCACATCTGCATATGGCCTTGATCATGCATGTGACCTTATTCTGGTAGGAGAGGCTGATAGATTAGATGAGGCTGTGGTGAGGGAGAGGCGAAATCTAAGTGTGCTTAAGAAGGTAGAATTAATTTACTGCTTATTTTTTTTTTAAAGATTTTATTTATTTATTTGACAGAGAGAGACACAGCGAGAGAGGGAACACAGCAGGGGGAGTAGGAGAGGGAGAAGCAGGCTTCCCGTGGAGCAGGGAGCCCGATGCGGGGCTTGATCCCAGGACCCTGGGATCATGACCTGAGCCGAAGGCAGACGCTTAATGACTGAGCCACCCAGGCGCCCCTAATTTACTGCTTATTTAATACAGAGATAGGTACATTATCTCAAAAGAGGGGGGTTTTTTTGTTTTAAAATTCTTATCATGAATAATTTAAACTTTTTAACACCTATGTGAGAGATAATCCTTATTTGTTTGTTAACTTGCTTCACTTTGAACTCTGTAATGAATCTGTATTTGATTTTAAGACAGTTTATCTAGGGGTGCCTGGGTGGCTCAGTTGGTTAAGCATCCAACTCTTGATCTCAACTCAGGTCTTGACCTCAAGCCCCACATTGGGTTCCATGCTGGGCATGGAGCCTACTTAAAAAAATAAATAAATAAAAGTAAAAAATACAATTTATCTATTTAGAAAAGAAAATTGTAGAAGGAAGTTACCTTAATTTTTTTCTAACAAATTATTCCTCCTAGTGGATATTTTGACATATGTGGTCTGGAAGCTAAGTGGCTTACCTGCAACTCGTGTAATTGGAAGTGGTTGTAATCTAGACTCTGCCCGTTTCCGTTACTTAATTGGAGAGAAATTGGGTGTCCATCCCACAAGCTGCCATGGTTGGATTATTGGAGAACATGGTGATTCTAGTGGTAAGTAGAAACCTATTATCATAATGTAATCATACTTCTTGTCTCTAATCATGCTTATTTCCTTTAAAGTCTATTTTTTTCTGATATTAATATAGCTACATAACTTTCATTTTGTTCGTATTGCCCTGGTGTATCTTTTTCTATTCCTATACTTTGTCTTCTGTTCATGGATTTAGCTGTCTCTCATAAAATAGTGCACATAGCATATAGCTGTTTTAAAAGTCAATGAGTGCTTCTCTTATCTGGAGAACTTAAACTTAGTGTGATTTTTAAGCAGCAGCATTATTAAGATATAATTCACATACTATAAAATTCATCCATTTAAAGTGTGTAATTCACTGGATTTTAGTATAGTCAAAGAGTTGTGCAACCATTACTACAAGATAACTACAGAACATTTTCATCACCCCAAAAAGAAACACCCATTCCTGTGGTCACACCCACCCCAGCCCCAGGCAACCACTAACCTACTTTCTGATTTGTTTATTTCATATTTTTCATGTAAGTAAAATTATATAATATGTGGTTTAAACTATTACTTAGGCCACACGAACCTTTTTCTTTTCTGGACTTAAACATATAATATCTGCTGTACAGTAGAACTTTCTACTTCTTACAATGTTCTCTAATTGTATCATGTGTGCAAATCTTTCCATAATGTCAATAAACCCATTTTATAGGGAATAGGGACCATTTGTTCATTCATTCAATTGTTCCTTAATTCAAAACATTTAATGAGCCCTTCTATTTTCCTTATATTTCAAGGGTCATAGTACAATAAATATTTTTTTAAACCATGATAAAATTTATGGTATGCTTTAAAACATTTTTCACTTAAGTATATATAACATATACAGAAAAATTATGCAGAATATAAATGTATAGCTCAATAAATCATCAAATAGTGAACACATCTGTGTAATTACCACTCTGGTAAATGCACTTTCTGCTCTGGCATGCACTTACCACTCTGGTAAAAGACACTTTCATGTCCTCTCTCAATTACTGTCCTTCCTTTTCCCAAGCTAAACTTCTCATATCATAGTATTTTACTTTTAAAAATAAATGTTCCAGTGCCTTAATTTGACCCTGTTTGCTTGTGTTATTTTCTTAACTGAGTTCTTCCTCCTCAAAGTCATTAAAAATAATTTTCCTAGGTATGTTTTAATGTCTCACATTTAATATTCCAAAGTTTTATTTTTTATAAAGTAGTATATTCTGATTAGTATTGATTTGAATATATTTATTATTCTATTTAGTGAGATTTTCTTTTGTTTCTTTTTTCTTCTCTGCTTTCTACTGGATCATTTAAACTTTAATTTCCTCTACTACTTTGGTTTATACACTCACTTTGTAAGTGGTTATCTATATTCATACTTGACCTCAAAATAGTGTGTTTATTCTTCTTTGGAATAATACATAGAACTTAGAATGTATTAATTTTGATTGGCCTTGTTCTCTCACATATGTAATTACGGTTGACCCTTGAACAACATGGAGATTAGGGGTTCCAATCCCCACACAGTTGAAAATCTGTGTATAACTTTTGACTCCCCCAAAACTTAATTACTCATAGTCTACTGTTGACTGGAAGCTTTAATGATAACATAAACAGTTAATTCAAAGTATGTTATATATATTGTGTGCTATTTTCTTTATAATAATACATGGTTCATCTGCAAGTTTTTTTTCAAATTGTTGCACATCTCCAAAACATTTTCCAATATACTTATTGGGAAAAATTCTTGTATAAGTGGACTCACACAGTTCAAACCTGTGTTGTTCAAGGGACAACAGTATTAACTACTTTTTTTGGTTCCATTCTGTTTTCATATCCCCGAACTAATTATTACTATTTAAGTGTAATACCTGTCTGGATTTGTGTACATGTTTGCCAGTTGTATTGCTTATCTTTATTTCCTGCATCTCACTCCTTCCCCTGGATTCAATTCTTTCTTCCTGAAGTATATCCTGTCAGTTTTGTTTATGTGACAGTGTTTTAGTTTCACCTCATTTTGAATGACAGTTTAACTGATATAAGATTTTAGGTTGACAGTTATTCCCTGTCAGCTCTTTGTTACTGTTGAGTAGTGTTTGTTGCTCTTTTCCTTCTAGTTGCTTATGATAGTTTATCTTATCTTATCCTTTTCTTTGTGGATTCTGTATTTGCATCTTGCTTTAAATGCCTCCTATACCACACAATTATAAACAACTTCTACTACATATTTTTTTAATTTTATTTTATTATGTTAATCACCATACATTACATCATTAGTTTTTGATGTAGGGTTCCATGATTCATTGTTTGTGTATAACACACAGTGCTCCACGCAGAATGTGCCCTCTTTAATACCCATCACCAGGCTCACCCATCCCCCCACCCACCTCTCCTCTAGAACCCTCAGTTTGTTTCCCGGAGTCCATAGTGTCTCATGGTTCGTCTTACATATTTTTCTAATACTTTATAATTTTGTTTTTTTACATTTCTTTCTTTTGTCCATTTCAAACTTATTTTTATATATGTGTAAGGTAGTAACCTAACTTTATAATATAACCCCATTGAACTCAAAGAACTGGTGCAGTACTGGAAAGAAGAGTTTATTCTGAGATATATCTCTTTTAGTGCCCTTGTGGAGTGGGGTGAATGTTGCTGGTGTTGCTCTGAAGACTCTAGACCCTAAATTAGGAACTGATTCAGACAAAGACCAGTGGAAAAATATCCATAAACAAGTTGTTGAAAGGTAACAGTACTCATTCAATGTCTCAGTTCCTTAATAATCAGTCTTAAGAATTAGTTTCACAGGCAAAAAGTATATAGTTGATCTTTGCCTTTTGTGAGATAAATAACCTGAAAATCCCCAAATTCAGACTTATATTATGCATAGCTTTCTTTGGGGTTCATTTTTTAAAAGGAAAATCTGCTTATCATTTCACAAGAACTCATATGTGTTTGAGGGTAATATAGCATAGTGATTATTATTATGGACTTTGGAACCAGGTTGCTGAGGTTTGAAACCTGGCTTCACCATTTATTAGTGGTATGATATTGAGAACTTATTTAAAATATTAAAAGCGCAGTTTCATCTTTTTTTCTGTTGAAGTATAATTAACATACAATGTTATACTAGTTTCAGGTATACAACATACTGATATTCATTGACAATTCTATACATTAATCAGTGCTCACCACAGTGAGTGTAGTCAACATCTGTCATCATACAACATTATTACAATGTTATTGGCTATATCTCTATGCTGTACTTTTCATCTCCATCATTTATTTATTTCATAACTAGAAGTTTGTATCTATTAATCCCTTTTATCTGTTTTGCCCATCCCTCCACCACCTCCCTTCTGGCAATTACTAGTTTCTTTTCTGTATTAAAAGATCTGTTTTTTGTTTGTTTTGTTTTTTATATTCCACATATAAGTGAAATTGTATGGTATTGGTATTTCTCTGTCTTATTTCACCTAGAATAAGGCCCTCTAAGTTTATACGTATTGTTGCAAATGGTAAGATTTCATTCTTTTTTATGGATGAATAATATTCCACCACATCATCTTTATCCATTCATCTATTGATGGGCACTTGGGTGGCTTCCATATTTTGGCTATTGTAAATAATGCTGCACATCATTTTCCTCATGTTTAAAATGGGGATAATAATAGAGCCTTATGAAGGTTATTATGAACAGTAAATGAGTTAGTACATGTAAAATGCTTAGAACAGTACCTAGAAATTATTAAGTGTTCATCAAATGATTTGATGAAAAGAAACATGAAATCGATCAGATGATCAGAAGTTAACTAGGTTTACTTATAAGTAAAATAAATGTCTGACTCTGTATACATCAGCTTTAACTGCACACATGATTTTCCCTCATCCTTTAGTCAAGCATATTAGTAGAAGTTATAGAACTTAGAAATAACTTTTGGATAGTCAAAACTGGAATATTAAATCTACAAAAACATACATCTAGATATATGGGGGGAGGGGCAGAGGGAGAGAATCTTCAAGCAGATTCCCTGCTAATAAGTACAGAGCCCTATGCAGGCGCTTGACCTCATGACATGAGATCATGTCCTGAGCTGAAACCAATAGTTGGACACTCAACTGACTAAGCCACCCAGGCACCCCGATAGTATCTTTTAATGTACAACATTTTAAAATTTTCATGAAATCCAATTTGCCTTTTTCTTCCTCTTGTTGCTTTTGTTGTTATATCAAAGAAAGCATTGCCAAATGCAATGTTGTGAAGCTTTTACCCTATGTTTTCATGTAAAAGTTTCATAGTTTTAGGTCTTATATTTATATCCTATCCATCTTGAGTTAATTTTTGTATATGGTCTTAGGTAAGGGTTCAACTTCATTCTTCTTCATGTGAATATCTAGTTTTTCCAGCATAATTTGTTGAAAAGACTATCCTTTCCCCATTCAGTGGTTTTGGCACCCTTGTTGAAAATCAATTGACCATAGATATGTAAATCTATTTTTGGAATCTCTATTTTATTGGTCTATATGTTTATCTTGATGTCAGTACTACACTGTTCTGTATACTGTAGCTTTGTGGTAAGTTTTGAAATTAGGAAGTGTGAGTCCTTCAGTTTTGTTCTTCCTTTTCAAGATTGTTTTGGCTATTCAGAGTCCTTGAGATTCCATATGAATTTTAGGATGGGTTTTTCTGGTTCTGCAAAAAATATCTTCAGGATTTTGATGGGGATTGCATTGAATCTGTAGATCACTTTGGGCTTATTTATGTTATCTTTAATTTCTTTCAGCAGTATTTTGTAGTTTTTATTATACTAGTCTTTCACTTCCTTGGTTAAGTTAATTCTTAAGATTTATTCTTTTTGATGTTGTTGTAAGTAGAATTGTTTTCTTAATTTTCTTTTTATGTTGTTCATTGTTATTGTATAGAAATGCAATTTTTGTATATTGACTTTATATCTTGTTACTTGGCTGAGTTCATTTATTAGTTCTAACAACGTGTGTGTGTGTGTGTGTGTGTGTGTGATTTTTAGAGTTATCTGCATATAAGATCATGTCGTCTGTGAGCAGAGATAGTTTTACTTCTTTCCAGTTTGGATGCCTTTTATTTCTCTCTCTTGTCTAATTGCTCTGGATAGAATTTCCAATACTGTGTTGAATAGAAGTGGCAAAAGTGGGCATTTTTGCCTTGTTCCTGATCTTAAAGGAAAAACTTTCAGTCTTTCACCATTGACTATGATCACTGTAGGTTTTTTATATATGGCTTTTTTTATGTGGAGGTAGTTTCCTTAATTCCTAGTTTCTTTTTTAAATTTTTTGTTTCTTAAGTGTTCTTATTATGAAAAGTTGTTGAATTTTGTCAAATGATTTTTTAGCATCAAATGGGATGATAATGTGTTTTTTTCTTATTATGTTAATGTGTCAAATTACACTGATGAATTTTGGTATATTGAACCATACTTGCATTCCATTCCAGGACTAAACCTCACTTGGTCATGGTGTATATGGTGTATGGTGTATGGTTCTTTGAAAATGCCCCTGAATTTGGCTTGCTAGTAATTTGTTGAGGTTTTGTGCATCATGTTCATAAGGGACATTGGTCTGTAGTTTTGTTTTCTTGTGGTGACTTACCTGGCTGTGGAATCAGGCTATGCTGGCTTCATTGAATCGGTTAGGAAGAGTTCCCTCTTCTTCAATTTTTTGGAAAAGTTTGAAAAGGATTGGTCCAGGGCTTTTCTTTTTGGGGAGATTTTTGATTATTGACAAACCTTCTAATGTTTATTCATGGTTTAGTCTTGATAGGTGTGATTTAGGTTTTGCATTTCTAAGAATTTGTCCGTTTCATCTAGGTTATCCAATTCGTTGGCATACAGTTTTTTATAGTACTCTCTAATAATCCTTTTTATTTCTGTAGAATCAGTAATAATGTCTCCTTGATTTTGATTTCAGTAAATTTCAATCTTTTTTCCTAGTTCATCTAGCTAAAGTTTTGTCAATATTGTGATGTTTTCCAAAGAACCAACTTTTGATTTCATTGATTTTCTTTACCCTTTTTACATTCTTTATTTAATTCTGCTCTAATATTTATTATTTCCTTCCATTTGCTAGATTTGGATTTAATTTGTTCTTCTTTTTCTAGTTCCTTAAGTTGTAAGCTTAGGTTGTTGATTTGAGATTTTTCTTGTTTTTTAATGTAAGCATGCATAGCTATAAATTTCCCCCTTAGCACTACTTACACTGTGTCCAATAACTTTTGTTATGTTGTGTTTTCATTTATCTCTAAGTATTTTCAAATTTTCCTTATGATTTCTTCTTTGGTCCTTGTTGTTTAAGGCTGTATTAATTTCCACAAATTTGTGTATTTTCCAATTTTACTTTTGTTATTGATTTCTAATTTCATCTCATTGTGTCAGAGAAGATATTTAGTATGTGATATCTATTGTTTTGAATTCATTGAAACTTAATTTGTGACATATCATATGGTCTTTTATGACAAATGCCCCATGTGTACTTGAGAAGAATGTAGATGCTGTTGTTGGGTGAGGTGTTCTGTTTGTCTGTTAGATCTAGTGTTGTTTAAGTCCTCTATTTCCTTATCTTCTGTCTAGTTCTGTCCATTATTGTGAGTGGGGTATTGAAGCCTCCAAGTATTATTGTAGAACTGTCTATTTGTCACTTTAATTCGATCAGTTTTTATTTCATATATTTTGGTGGTCTGTTATTTGATACATAACTGTTTATAATTGTTATGTTTTCTTGCTGTTTTGAACCTTTTATTAATATATGATGTCCTTCTTTGGCTATTGTAAACTTTCTTGATTTTATATTTTGTATGACATTAGTATAGCCACCTCAGCTTTCTTTTGGCTATTTGCCTACAATATCTTTTCCATCCTTTCACTTTCACTGTTTGTCTTGGATCTAAAATGAGTCTCTTATAGGGAGCATATACTTGGATATGTATTTTTATCCATTCTGCCAATCTGTGTCTTTTGATTAGAAAGTTTAATCCATTTACATTTAAAGTAATTACTGATTGGGGGAAAGTTCTGTTATTGTGCTATTTGTTTTCTTTAATTAAAATTTTTTTATTATTATTAACATATAATATATTATTTGTTTCAGGGGTATAGGTCTGTGATTCATCAGTCTTATACAATACACAGCACTCACCACAACACATACCCTACCCAATGTCCATCACCCAGCCACCCCATCCCTCCCACCCCCCTCCACTCCAGCAACACTCAGTTTGTTTCCTGTGAGTCTCTTATGGTTTGGGGCACCTGGGTGGCTCAGTCAGTTCAGCATCCGCCTTCAGCTCAGGTCATGATACCAGGGTCCTGGGATCAAGCCCCACATCAGGCTTGCTCCTTCCTCTCCTGCTCCCCTGCTTGTGACCCCTCTCTGTCTGTCAAATAAATAAATAAAATCTTAAAAAAAAAAAAAGAGTCTCTTATTGTTTGTCTCCCTCTCTGGTTTCTTCTTGTTTCTTTTTTTTCTCT